TTAATATGGAAAGTTTTTACAACTACTTAACAGCTTGGTATAATTCTGATAAAATGATGTATCATGTATCGCTTGCTTCATTCATTCCTTCACCACCGGAATGGACGATTGAAAATAAAACTCGTTTGATTCCACCAGCAGGTCCATTCGAGTATAGCCAAATACCCTTTTATCTTACAAATCTATCCAGTACACCAGTTATCATCGAGATGGTTAAAGTTAGCCATTTTTTTTTTCGTCATTTTAATTTTTAACACTTTCTTTTCATTTTATGTTTGACTTTAATTGGACATTTTTTAATATTTTTTTCAGAACATTGTGCTATTCGTTTTTTGTTAGCATAAGTGAATTATGGTTTAATCAAAAACGAACTTCTTTTTTTCAGGAGATTCGTGCTATTTGTGATGAATTTACTGCTAATGGTCTGCCAAATTTCCCCACTGGAGTTGCATTCACATTTTGGGAACAGTATTTACATCTGAGCGGCAATCTTTTCCAAGCTATTTGTGTAATAGCATTTGCTGTATTCTGCGTGATTTCTATTATTATATGCAATCCATGGGCTGCGGGTTAGTAAATCTTCATTACATATTTTCATCCAAATTTCATTATATTTTCAAATTAATCGCAGAATTAGAAAAAAAAAAAGAAAAAAATTACAAGAAAAAAATTTCTAGTTGTGTTGTCATTATTGACTTTTATATCTTTCAATAAGAAGTTATATTTTAGGCATTATTTTGATAATTTTGCTGCTAATGACAGTCGAACTCACAGGTTTTCTTGGTTTAGTTGGTATCAAACTGAATCCTATCTCAGCTGTAACAGTTATCACTGCCGTTGGTATTGGTGAGTCTTTTTTATACTTTGTTTTTGAGTGATGATGGAATTTTTAAATTAAAATTAATAATCTAATTAGATTAATTAAAATTTGCTTTATTGTTGGAATTTTTGTTTAAACTTAAAAATCTCTTGGTAATTAATATAATCAGCATGATTTTATGGGATATTAATCAACAATCAGTCATTAAATTACTTTTTATTTGTATTATTAAATTTCTGAAAACGTCATCTTCTAAAGAGCTATTTAGTAAGTAATGAAGAACTGACAAACTATTCTGCTTCTCTATCACGTTAGATTTCATTCAAATTTTAATTTTAGCAAATACTGGCAACCTATAAACCGGGCAAATTAAATGTGTTTTTGATGTGATTTTTTTTCGTGAGACGTATGTGAAAAAAAGAAATTCGCTGCATAAAATAATCACACAGTCATGATAATCATAGAAATGAATTGAATTTGATTCAACTTTAATTTAATTGAAATGGTTTTTTAGGAGTGGAATTTACAGCACATGTTGTGCTAGCATTTTTGACATCACTTGGTACTCGAAATGATCGAATGGCATCGTGCATCGATCGTGTTTTTGTTCCTGTTATTCATGGTGCTTTCTCGACACTGCTTGGAATTATTATGCTTGCTTTTTCGGAATTTGAATTTGTTGTGAAATATTTTTTCATAGTAATGACAGCATTAATTTTTATCGGTGTTATCAATGGTCTTGCTTTGTTACCAGTTTTACTTTCACTTATTGGACCACCATGTGAGGTTAGATGTTATAAAATGAAGAATCTTTCATTGATTTCATTACAATATTCTTTAATTTCGGAGATAAATTTATAGCGAGTTGAAGTTCCCAAAATTATTGTAATATAAATTGTGTTGAATAAATACGATAGAACACAGTGTTGTCTAAAATTTTTATTTAAAAAAAATAAGACTTTTGTTAACGAAATGTTAAAATTTAAAAATTTCCAGATTGAACCGTTGGATGGAAGCCATCGTTTGTCTCCTCCACCACCGCTACAGCGACGGATACAACGGACAGTGCAAGAATCACAAGTACATCGACGTAACTGTTCAGATGATAGTAATACTGCCACTCTTGGTTCTGAAAATGTACGTGTTTCATCGCTAATTGATCATGTTTAAATTTTTGTAGCACTTTTAATTAATATCCGAAATTCTCACCAATTTTTTGAATGAATTTTTTTAATCTTCTCTTTTCTTCTAGTATTTTCGCCTTCCATTCATTTTCATCACTTTCAAATTTCAGTTTAATTTTTTTAGATAGTAGTTTTTTTTTTTTTTTTTTGACATTAGTTAAAACTAAACTTTTTTTCATTCAGTGCAGTACAATGCTACTAATATCGCCACCACGAAGTGGTAATGGTGGTTTATCGGGTGCACCACGACTGGTTCCAAATACTCATGCTCGGTCCGCAAGTGCTCATATCGTATAAATTATATGACATTTTGCTTTTTTATCCTTCTCTTATTTATTATTCTCATAGATGGATGATTTTTGAAGAAAATTAATGCAGTCATAATTACGTTATGTTGCTCTAAAATTGTGAGTGAAACACTTTTGATCAAAAATACTGAAGTAGTTATTATTTTCTTGCTAAATTCTGCGGAAAAAGGTTTATTTATTATTTCAATTTCCTTTTTTTTTTTTTATTAGCTGAAATTTCCAGAATTAGAAATTTTTCCGCACAGTCAATTTTACAGATATTGCTCGTTTCAATAATTTATGTTTCCATTATCATCTGTGATCTCACACTCGCCCAATCTCTCCATTTCTCCTTCCTCTCAATTTGTATAATTGAAAAAAATCTGAATTTTTTTTCTCTCTTTTTTTTGATTAGTTTGGGATGATTTATCAAATTGCGGATGATTTCTTTTTTCTTATCCATTACACCTAAACTAATTCAGTATTCAATATTTCTAGATTTTAGAAAATTTTCTTCATGCCCTGAAGGAATCATTTTAATTCACAGTAGTTTTTTCAATCTCTCTTTATGTATTGTATTTTCCCACGAATTCTCATTTTTTGAAAAATTTCTTTTGCCATTAACTTATGATTTTCTAGATAAGAGGATTGTTTTATGATTATTTTTTAGATTTCTTTTTTTTTTTTTGATTTTTTTTAAAGTACAATTTTGTTTTTATGTCTCTCTTTTTTCCTGTGCAATTTATAAATCAACCGCAATTGCTCAGAGAAAGATTAAAATTGAGGAAGGTGAAAAAGGAATGGATTGAACGAGATTTGCTGGGATCTATTATACGGGTGATTTAGCTCGTTTGATCATCTTATGGTCGTTCTTAATTTGTTTCAATATTGCACTATTATTATCAAAATTTTTTTGTTAAAATTAGAAAAAAAAAAGACGACTCATGCCGATTATATATGTATGTATATATATCCGGTATGTACATAAGTTTTCAGTATTTAATGATTTGTAATATCTTTTAATACTTGACATTTTGGTGATATTTTTCCCAAATAATATGATTTCAGGAATGAACATGACAAAAATTACTTTTTCGGTATTCTCAAATACCGAAAAAAAAAAAAAAAACCTTTTTTGATGTTGATTCATCGTTCAATTATGATCATTATTTTTCATTATCAATATATAAATGATCTGTTGATTTTTTTTTAATTAATTAATTTAATTTTGTATGTGAAATAAAATTAGTCATCGATGAATCTCATCAAATCGTTTATGTATTTATTGATTAATTGTTTGATTTGTTGTTTATATATATTTTGTATTATTGTATTATTGTGAGAACAAAATTCTCCCATTTGAGCTTATCATTTTTTTCTATTACTGATTATTCCGGTAATTCGTATGCAAATGCCTGAATCATTCTCTTCCTTTTTTTCTCTTCGTGTCATACTTTTTTTTTCTGGAAATCTTTTTATATGACTTCAATCCAGTAACAACCATCTATGTTTTTATTTTTTCAGATATATTTGAGCACATACTTTAAATCACTGTCTAGTTCATAGGGTTAAATTCTGTGTATTTTAAACTTAACCGAAATATTTCAGTCATATTTAGAGATGGTATCTTGGCTTATAATTTCATTAAGTATAATTGTCCAGGCCTTTTAGGTTTGGGGTGAATATTGTGTAGTCTTTCAAAATGTTACTTTAGCTCCGGTAAATGTAATATCTTACTTTATTTTTGTTTATTTTCGGACAGATTGTGATTTTAATGTCTTTTCAAACTATGTTCTTCTAAGATTTTTATTTATTTATTTATTCTTTTATTTTATTTATTTTTTTTTTTTTTTTGGAATTAGTCATTTTTTTTTGGAGAAAAAACTTTCTGGAAAAAGTTTAGATATTAAAATTCAATTACAGGCATAAAACCTCGACAATGTTCTTTATAAATTAGTTGTTTTTTGATTCATATCTCAATCATATAGGAATTTGCACATTCGTTATTTTGCTCTATCGAATAATATATTATTTTTAATTGATTTGTTACTTGTCTTTTGCGTTTCTTTTTTCTTTTGTCTAATTCTATGCTTTTTCCCTATTTAAAATAATTCAGTTGTTTGTTCGAAATTTATATTAATAAGAGATTTTTATTAAGATTTCAATTCATTTTTTTTCATCTTATTTTTTTATTTTTTCTCGATGGATAAACATCTCAAAAGAAAGAATAAAATGTTATGCTTGTGACCACAGAAGTAACAAAATTCATCCATCAATTAGAAAGAAATCTTAAAAACATATGGAAATTAGTGAATAATTTATTCAATTTATTTACTATGATAAACATTCATACTAACTTTAGTTTAGAAAATGGATGTGATAGCTTTGTTGATATAACTTTATCAGAAACTAATGAAAATTTTTTGTTTTTGTAATCCTAATATCCTGATATAGATTGATTTATTTAATATGAATGATTAGATTTATGAACATTTTTCTTGTATTTACATTCTATCGGAATATTTATTTACATCAAACAATGTTTTCCCCTTTTTTTTGATAAGAATAGCAATATTTTTAATCCAATTAATCAATCAATAATCTATTCTATTGCATTGTGTGATTTCCATATGTTTGCTAAACTTTTAGATTATTTTTATAACATAATGAAAGCAATTTAATTAACTATTTAAATCATTAATGAGTTTGTTATGTTGTTATATCGATAAGTGGTGCGTTCTTTTCATTGGGATAGTTGATGTGAAGGCCGAGTTGACCGATATGAAATATCTTCAAACCGATTCTTCCTGAATTGTAGTAGGAATACGGGATGTAAATTGTAAACTGTCGGTAGATATCCTGAAAGAGAAGTGATGCTTTCACCTATTGCTTAAATATTCAGGTATTTTTCATGAAGAGAAGCAATATTCACACTTCAATTATTTCACATTTAATTAGTTTTATTCATCATTAATTTTCTTACCTTTCGATTTCTTACCTTACTTTCCCTAAATAGCTTATAAACATAAATGGTATAATAATATACTACTGGTAATTGAGTTATAAGTTGAACAATTGCTTCAAAGTCTTATGGTAATTTCTCAATTAATCTTTCGAATACAGTAATTTCAATTTAGGAATTTTCCGAAATTTAATATCAAATTATCAATTGATCAAATCAATGATACCAATGTATGAGTAACCTTTTGTCGTTCATAAAATGTCATACCACATTGATGATTTATCACTAAAATAGGTTTCTGAAGAATTGTCTGTCCACTGGATAGTCGAAAAGATCCTTCATTATTTGGTTGTTGTTCAGTGATAAAACTATTCACTTCTAAATAATTGCTTATAAGAGATCGAAATTTATAGGAAGGAGAAAATTTTTTAGAAGCAAATATGTGAGAATTTTATTTTAAGAAAAATTTAACAATTTCATTTATTAGAAATTATAATAAATTATTAGCATAAAATGAATTTTCAAATGAAAAAAAAACTATATTTCACATATTTATCGCAAACTTTAATTATTGCAAATTTAATGGGTAATTCTTTCAGCTTTTTTTTTTTACATTTTTGATTTTCTTTAAGAAATTCTAACTTATTGATTGAAGAAAAATTTAGCATTTTAAACATTTCAAACTTGTAAACTCAAAAATGAACTTTTAAAAGTTAATATCATATGATATCACATTAACTACTTTTTAATTTCTTATTTTTGAAATCTTCAAAAAAAAAAAAATGATAATATCACCTTGCTTATCAGTTGAAAACAATCGTACAACACTTGTTGATACATTGTAATGGTCGCCGGCACAAAATAATTTACCACTAATTTCGAGCGCTAAAGTACAAAAAAAAAAAAAAAAAATTATTTACAATTTCAGTTTTTAGAAAGAAATAGTTTGAGCTGATCAAATATAAAAAAAAAAAAAGTGTAATAATTTAAAGTTTATGCGATACGAAGTGCTTTTTTTAATAAGAATTTAAATACTTGATTTTAGAGTATTTAAATTTACTTATTAATATATATGTGAGTATAGGAAGTTGAAGCGCTATATTAATATTATAATATAATAATTACTTTTTATATTACTGCTAATTATAATTGATAAATAATTAATCATAATTAATATAGAAAATATTTAATATCATAATTAATAGAGAAAATATTTAATATTATAATTAATATAGAAAATAAATAATAAATAATTTATCAGTTAACGCTTTATATAATCTCAAACATTTTATGATTGCCTATACAATCATATAAAGTTCCTTACATAATAATAAGTCTAACATAAATGAATTTAAATCAATTATTGTGGAAACAAAGAATATTATTTGGAACTTTTGTATTATAAAGATATTTGGACAATAATATTAGGATTAAGAAACGAAGAATTATAGTAAAAAACAAAAAATAAATTTTAATTAGAATTTAATTTTGAGATTAAAAAAAAAAAATTTTTAAGCGATATTAATTACAACAATTGTAATCGATTGAATAAAGTAAAACTTACGTTTATTGAAATGAATAAATTTGATGCCATCTTTTTGACCTGGATAATACAATTCCAAATTAATAGTACCAATATGAAATGATTCATTGCTATTAATAAATTGTTCAGGAATTTTAATAATAAATCGACGATATGTTGCATTCTAAATTAATATCAATAACATTTATTAATTCTAATTTCATTCCTATATTCATTTTTCTTCTTTTTTTTAAATTGATAAATTATAAATTAATTGAGAAAATTAAATTAAAATGAATAAATGACTAATATATAATATATTCAAAAAAAAAAAAAACAATTCAGTGATTTATTGAAATATTTTTCTTTTCAATTAAAAAATCCTTGTTGAAAAAATAATTATAAACTTAATAAATTTAATATCATTTGATTTCTAAATTCTTTCTTATCAAATTTTATTTTCTGTTTTATCCTTAATGATACTAACTGATTATTACTGTTCTTTTTCTTATCACATAAATGAATGAATTTCTTTTATGTATTTCAATCATTTGCGTTAAAATTAATTCATGTTTTTTTCCTTTTTTTGTTCTGTTTTTTCTTTTCCGGAAATGAATGTCAAAGAAAAGAAAGAAGAAAATGAGATTTGAGGAAGAAATAAAAAAGGAAAGATTGAAAAAGTGATAGAAGAGAAAGTTTGAGAAATGATAATTGTCATTTTGTCACGAAATGAATTACATAGATGAGGCTATTCAACATTTCAGAGAGAGAGAGAGAGAGAGAGAGAGAGAGAGAGAGAGAGAGAGAGAAAGCCAAAGAATAAATTAACTTGATTTAATCTTATCAGAAAATATGCTCTTCCTTTTTTTTTTTCTTCTTTTTCATTTTAAAATCCATTAGTGAGATGAGTAGCCAATAAACAGTCATTCTAGTTTGTTTATTCTTTTTTTACTCTTATAATTAAGTTAAAATTCTAAGCAAAACTGATATAAAAATAAAATTTAGTGTTATTTCTTTTCTTTCGTCCCTCTCTCTCTCTCTCTCTTTCACTTCCCTCCTTTCTCTCTTTCTTTCCACTCAAAATATATTAGAATACTATAAAATTGTAAATTTTGAAATTAAAATTTGAAATTGAAGTTGAAATGCAGTTTCTAATTTATGACTATTCATTGTGATAATTTAAACATTATTTTTACATCGTATTAAAAATTAACATTTAAAAGTTAGCCACAATAAAATCAGATGCTTTTTAATAATGAAATTAAAAAAAAAAAGAGTAATAGTTGAATTTTTAAGTTTTCGTCTTCTTTTTTTTTTACAAAATTTTACTAACTTTCCGTTTTAGTTGACCACATTGATGATAGATGACCAGTACAGGACGAAATGATATGATAAAATCACGATTTTCACCATTCAATTCAAAATTACCCTCTTCCCATGATTCACTTCCATCCACAATATAATTGATTTCTATAAAATAATCATTCTCAATGTATGAATATGAATAATTTTATATTTTCTGATAAAAGAAAAATCCAATTTGATTTTTAAATTAATTAAAAAATTAAAATTAATTATTTCATAAAAATTTTCTTTTCCTCTCTATCTTATCTGAAAAAGAAAAAGCAAAAATAACCATCACTGATGCTATTTTTAATATCTGTTTAATATTATTCATTTTTTAATTTTTTATTTTTTAAATGGAAAAAAAATCAAAAGAAAAAACACAGAGAGAGAGACAAAGAGAGAGAGAGAGAGAGACTTACTTTGCCTGAAACAAATAAATTGATCCTTCTTCCATTTACTCTCTTAAAATACTTTAATGGATTAATTGCGCTATTTATTTGCTATATATGTAAAAGAAAAAAAAAGTTCTTTTTGTTATGCTAAAAGCCGTAGTGGTACCAATTGGTACCATAAATCTAAAAAAGAAAACTATAATGAAGCAATGAAATGAATTTTGAAATTAAAAAATTCTATGTGCAAAATGATTTTCGTTTTTCTTTTCATTCAGAAATACATTTATTTTAGGCATTTATTTTTTTTTTATAAACCTTATATATATTTATTTTCTTTTCTTTTTTGTTAATTTCAATTGTTTTATTAATTCCAAAAAAAACTGTGTTTTGTAATTTTTTGATATTTTCATCCTATTAGTAAAAACTATAATATTACTGCTAATTTAATGATAAATTAATAATCAAATTTTTAGCCTATAAATTAAAATTAATCCCTTAAAAGAGAAAGTATCTGATAAGAGATCAAAGAACAACTCGCATATCATTTGATAATATTTATCTCTTCGCTCGATTGGTCAAATCATAAATGAATTTTAATACATCAAATTAATGCTTATTTTATTAGCTATATAATAATTAAGCCAAGCTATTATAGTTTTTCTGGTCAAAGTTACTTTCTTTTTTTTGGTCAACCAATTTTCACTTTCTAATCATACAATTTTTATCCTTTTTTCCTCTTTTTTTTTTTTTTTAAAAAAGACTTAAATTCTTTTCTTGCATCAAAATTTCTAATTATCTCACAATTTCAGATAATTGTCACATTTTTATTGATGACATATTCCACATAGACATTGTTATATTTTAATCAATTCCTTCTATTATACAGAAAAAAAAAAAGACAAGAACAAACGATCATGAAATAATTTTACAGTATTTGTTAATAGTAGTACAAATATAAATTTATATCATTTATCAGTTATCATATTTCAACTTTCATCTTCATTTATTAAAATTTAATTTCCATTTTTTTTCTTTCTTATTACACAATATTATTAGTAAACAAAACCAAAAATAAACAAAGAATGCTAACAGCCAAAAAAAAAAAAAAATCCTCAAAAAATAATCAAAATCTAACCAATACCATTACTAAAACAAATTAACTTACTTATTCTTAAAACAGATAAAAGTAAATAAAAAGGAAAGAAATAAAACAAATGAAACACACTCTTTTTACATAAAACATAGATATAAACCATAAAACAAACTAATAATAATAATAAAGAAAAAGAAAGAAATTAAACAAACTTCAAAATTATAAGTAAAAATAAAACTTAAAAAACAACTATGCTCATTTTGATCTGTTCATATTTATCTTTCTATATAAATTAATTAATCTCTTTTTATTAATATTTCTTTTATTTATGAACAATTTAAAAAATTTTTAGATTTACATTTGATAATTTGAGTACTTTTTTGATATTAAATTCAATAATTTGGCATAAAATATTTCACTCATAATTTTTGCTTTCCTTTAAAAAAAAAAAGTATATTATAATTTTGCAATCATTGCATTATACTGCAATTTTATATTCTTTTTAAAAGAAAAAAAAAAAACTTCAAGAATTTATCAAATAACGTTTAAATCTTTTTTTAAAAATAATTCTTGTTTATTGTTAAACCGGTAAAATTATTCGATTTAAAATCTTTCGTCTATTTTTTATCAAATATTATCTAAAATAAACGACTGATATAATTTGTGCAAAGATATATGGTGAAAGAGAGAGAGAGAGGGAGAGAGAGAGAGAGGGAGGGAGAGGGAGAGAAATGGATAATTTTAAAAGGTTTTATGGAAAGTAGCTAATGCTATTGTCAAGCATTTATTCATCCATTCATTTGACTCTATTCAGTTAGATGAAATTTAATAAAATCAAAAAAAGTTATATCACTTTTTCCTTCTTTCTTTTCTTTTTTACGCTAATAAACAAACTTATATCACTTTTATAACGCTTAAATCCACGTTTATACTAACAATGAAATATAACAAACGTAACAAAATGTTTTCGTCATTTGTGTTTAAGTCGTTTAGTTTGAAAAATTATTATTTGATCGTTAGCTACTGGCATATTTTAATAGCTTTATTAAATAGCAATAATTGATATTATATTTTGTCATAGATCAATTAAAATTTAAGCATTGACATGCATAATCATTAAATTTTTTATGGTAATTATTTAATAAATTAAAAATTCAACCAGAAATGATACTTTTTTTATGTTTAAAAAAAAAAGTTTAAAAAATAATTTCAAATGATACACACATAAATTTGCATAATCTTACTTGTCTTCATTAACTCTTGCAATATTTGAATATAATCGTACTTTTGCCGTTTTATATGGAACAGTTTGATAGCGACAAAAGAGAGTACCCTTAGAGCTAATATGATTGCTTATTTGAGATTCAAATGATTTCAATTGTATCTTTGAATTAATCGATTCATTAATATACGATAAATCATTATCATTTGAATTAATCACTAGAGGAAGATCATTAATAAAAGTAGCTTGAATTCCGTTAATAATTGTTGTAGTGGTAGTGATAATTGTAGTAGCATTGATTACATTGCTAATAATTGTTGAGGCGGAAATGTCGTTGCCAATTACATCATCAAAATGCTCAGATGATTTTAATAAAATTTCAGTGTTAGTTGAACAAATGAAAATTTCCGCATAAATTGCAAATATAAATAATAGAAATTGTACAGAAAACATTTAGAAATGAAAAATGCTGCAAAAATAAAGTTAGCAAATAACTTTTATCCTTTTTTTTCTCTTTTGTTTTTCTTTTAGCAATATTTTTTAAAGTAAACAACTGTTTAACAATGATAAATTATTGTTTGAAAAAAAAGAAATTACAATCAATAATTTGTTAATGAATGAATTTAAATTGAAATGGTAATGAAAATAGAAAAAAAGAAAAAAAGAATTATTATAAATGGATGCTATGATATTTTGGAGAGAAAAAAGAATTTTTTTTTTTGTTAATCATTGAAGCATAAATTATAATATATTTTAGAAAGCTTAAAATTTGGAAATTTTTTTTTTTTTTTTTGTAGAAATAAAAAAAGATGAAAGAAACGGTGGAAAAAAAGAGAGAATGATTAAAGTTTTTTCTTTTTGAAGAAAAAAAAAATTTATATAAAATGAACAAACGAGAATAATAAGTTTACATTTAAGTGTATTTAAGAGTTGCAAATTGAGTAAGTAAAATAGTTTGTTCTATTTTTTCGTTTCAATTTTAACAAATTTACGTCTATGTGTTTCCTTAAGGTATTTCCTTTTTATTTGATAAGTAAACAAAATCGACAATTAGGCTTTCATTGTGTAATTTTGTCCAATCTTTAAATTATTACATCAAAAAAATTTTTCGAATATGAATTGATGAATTGAAAGCAAAAAACAAAAAAAAAAAAGGAAAGTAATCATAATAAATAAAAAGTACAAATTTTCAATTATTCATGAAATAATCCTTAAATAATCCTCGGCTAACTAAGCTATGATATTTTATTTGTTTTAAAAATAGCAAAAAATCAGTTTTATGTTAGCAAAAAAAAAAAAAGTAAAGTTTTTTTTGTTAAATTAATTTATTAAATTACTGTATTCTGTTATGATAAAGTATGAGAAATTTATACAAATAGTTAATTAATTAGTAGAAATCCAGTAATTTGTTAAAAAAAAAAATTTGGTCGTTTCTTTTTTGTTTGAAATTAGTATTTATTTTGCATAAAATTTGATTTAAAATGGAAAATTTGATGAAAATGAAGTATTAAGTGCTATTACTACTGATATTACTTATAGTAAACTATTATGATTTAGCTATAAGTAATAAAATCCAAAAAGAACATTTGAGAAATTTCAATTTAATTATGGATTAAATAAAATATGACAAATACTTTGCTAGGAAATTTACAAATTATCTAACTTACTTTCTTTGTTTTGAAATAAATTTGATTTTTTTTTTCTTCAAAATGTCATACGACAAAAGTATAACAAATTTTTTGTCTTAGATAATATTTGAATTTTCATAAGCTAAATGAAAAATTTTTTCTTTTAAATTAAATGAATCTATTAGTCTCCCAAAATATGTTTGATAAGGTCATTTGCGCTTCATTTTTTCTGTGATTAATTCTAAGTGAATTTAATTAATATAAGTGAATTATTAAAAAAAAAAAAACATTGAGCCAAGAATACTAAATGTACCTAAATTTGAGCATTGATTATAAATTTAAAAAAAAAGGTCGAATTTAATTTTTTTCCTTACAGCTTAATATTCATCTATAATTGATTTAAAATTTCTTTAACTGATAACAATTGATAACTTATCTATAATTTAATCTACATATATATATTTATATAACAGTGTTTAGAGTAGTAATTCATATATTAATTCTTTTTATTTTCTTTTTACCACAACAATTTTTGTTTTAGTTTTTGATTTTAACATTTTTCATTTCAAAAAATGATATATTTGTCGTTTTTTTTTTCCATTTTTAAAAGCTATAAATTTTAAAACGAAATCCAATAAGCGTCTAAATAAGCTTAAGTTTCTAAAGCATCCAGAAAATTAATGATTAACAATTTTTCATAAAATTCCTTCGTCTTTTCGTTATTTGTCATCAATTTAAATGCTCCATTTCCACTTGTTTTTTTTTTCTTTTTGTCCATTAAAAAAAAGTTTCAAAACGAATAGCTCATACTTTTATTAAAATTAAAAATATTATCATTGAACAAAAAATACTAAATATTATACTAAAATATCAAATACCATTTGCGCCAAACTATTTATGCAAATTGCATTACAGTTATTAAAGATATTATTAGTAGCAGAAAAAAAAGTTTCACTTTTAAATTCATTTTCCTTCTCTGTAATGAATTTTGAGATAATTAAAAATGTGAGATGAATTTACCTAAACATAATTGCTGCCTTTGACGTAATGACGTAATACCCACCATCTGAACAGACTTTTCTCGTTAAGTTAGACGTAATGATAATAAAATTGAAATTGATAAAGTCTTGTAATTAGCAAGAAAAAATAAACTGATAATATTGATAGGAGTGATAAGTAATCAAATCAAAGACATTATAAATCTGATAAATAACGCATTTTTTGTTTTGAAATAAAATAATTAATTGATTATAAAATTTGAAATAAAATAATTAATTGATTTAATATTATTATTATTATAGTCATTGATCAAAATCAAAAATTAAATAATTAAATAAGTAATTAAGCTTTGCTTCTGTTCATTTTTTTTTTCTTTGCAGATCAATCAATTTACTATCAACTTCTGATCATCTTAGTTTCCTTTTTTTTTTTTTTTTTTTTTGTAAAAGGAATTCTCTTTTTTTTTTTTTTCAAAATTTTGCTGTCTAACATTTTAGAATAATTACTTTTAGCTATTCAATGATAGCTAATGCTAAAAAACTAATTTAAATGTAGAAATTAACTGTTCGTTAAACTTTCTTCGCCTTATTTCAACTTCTTTCTTTTTACGATTGGATAAATTTCATCAGAATTTTACAGAATCAAATTTTATCTGAAATATGCAGAAGTTTTTTTCTTTAAAAAAAAAATTTATTTCTTTTTGCAAATAAACACAATTTCATGCTGTTTTTTGTTTTTTTTTCAACCATTAAAGTGTTAAATTTCTTTTTTTTTTTATTCTTTAACTTAAAATTATTTGTAAAATTTTAAATTTAAATTGCTAGATGATGTTTTTCTTTTTTTATTTATCTATAAGTTACTGAATAAATTTACAAATATTAATAATTTCTCAACATTAATTATAAGAAATTTTAGATGAATTGTTGAAGACTTTTTTACATCGTTAGCTTAAAATAGGAAGCATAAAATTCTCAGATGGATTTAATTTTTTTTTTTTTTTTTTGCTAGATAACAAGTTGAGAATTTGAAATTCTTTGATTTCTGCAATAATTTTTATTTCTAACACAAATACTTAAAAAAATTTCTTACAGTAGATGTTGAAAAAATCAATCAATATTTTGTTTTTTTTTTCAATTATTTAAAAAATTATTCAATGATAATTTCAGGTAAAAAATATTTTTTGTAACTTATTATGATGAATTGGTCATCGATAAGATTATTTATTGATTAAAATAATCTATTTTATTATTTAAAAGATAATTAAAAGATAATAATCTAATTGAAAATGATTTTTAAAAAGATAATAGAAATCAAACATTTGTTTATTTCAAAAAATTTTCTTTCATCTTTACCTCTTTTTCTTTCACAAATATAACTCAAAAATATTTTTAAAAATATTTTACAGTAAAAATTTTGTTAAAATTTGAGGTGCAAATGTAACTTTGATATAATTATGAAAATTATTATTGAAATATGACATATAATTTACTCAAATTTCGTTTTTCTAATCCAAATTTTTAATTCTTTTTTTCCCTTTCTTCAAGGATTAAAATTTTATTTTTTTTTGAAAGAATATTTCAACCATTTACAACTACAAAATTTTTTATTATAATTAATAATAAAAAAAATTTTTTTTCAATAAAAATAAAATTAATAATAAAAAAATATAAATCTTTGATAGTTGTCACTTGTAGTTATTTATTTTATTATTATTTGATTTTCATTTAAAAATAGCATACATCATCTCTCTCTCTCTCTCTCTCTCTCTCTCTCCCCTTCTTTCTCCCTCTCTCTCTCCTCCTTCCAATTTAATAACCCTTATTAATTTTATTCATTTCTTTTGTTAATCTAATTATTACTCATCCATTCTGAAACCGTTTTATCATTCTATCACTTATTAATATCATTCTTTGAATGCGCATGCAGCTGCATTTACGTACGTGTTTTGCAGTTAACGTGAAAAAAGAACGTTACGTATCATTTTAATAAAAAATAATGCATAGTGATACTTACAAGCAATTTTTTCAAAATTTATAAGCATTCTCTTTTCTCTGAGTGATAAATGATCAATGCTCAATTTTAGTTTTATATTATATAAAAATCTGATCCAAAAAACAGTAAAGCATAATACTGAATGAATAGCAGTATCGATTATTTCTAGAAAAAATAATCGATAAGGCAATCAATCAATAATATCATTATTGATTGATTTGACTTTAAAAGATTTTCTTAAATTTATTTGCAAATGAAAGAAAACAAGGAAAAAAGGAAACGAAAAACAAAATTTATTTAATAAGGAAAAAAATGAAATTATATTAATAATTAAAAGCAGTGAATAATTTCCCAATGCATTAAATTATTTTGATAATTGTAAATGATTTCTAAAAATAGCAACAAAATTTCAT